CAAGGTCTATGAGACGTGGACAACTAGTGTACTCGATTCTTCGTCAACCTTGTCAAGATTGAAAAAGATGCAACAAGTTGATTTGCTACTTTGGTTAATAATTAAATTTTTTCTTTTGCCATGGTACTTAAGGTGGGGTCTTATTTTTTCTCAAAAGAATGACTATTAGCTGGAAGAAGATGAGAGCGTTTTTTAAAGTCTTTCTTCATATTTTAGTTTTGCACCAAATGGAGTTATTTTGCTTGATATTGTAACGTTTTTAAAAGAGACGAGTGGTGATAATACGGCAATATAGGGGTTCATGAACTCGCAATTTTACTTCTTGTATTCGTTTTTAATATCTTTTACTATTTTTGTCGATTAACATTAATGAAATTTGGTCAAGTGTTCATTCTAAGAGTTTGTAGGGGAGAAATATATATATTTTCGTAGCATTATAGAAAGATATTTTAGTGAAAAAATAAATTATATATTTGACACGCCTTCAAAAATATATGCATCCATGGTTACGAGTATGTATTATTGAGATAGCACTTGGACCAAACTAAAGGGTAAGTTAAACACGCAAAACCAAGTAGATGCACTCTCCAAAATGGATTTGAGGAAGTTCCTTTCCATTTTCATACGATGCTTCCTCTGGACACGAAGTTTAACCTTATAGCTTAACCATGCTTATGTTCGTAAAAACTTGAAACTTGACTTTCCTGCCTAGCTATTCTTTATGTTTTCAGAGCATTAAATTTTACGAATCATCATACATTTGAAAATTGAATGGCATAGTCGATGAAGTAAACTGATTATTAAGATATTATTCAACCTTCTATAGTCTTGCGTTACAAACATATTTTGTTATTTTCGAAACTTGACGAGTAAATTTTGTTTGGCAAAATAGGTCACAATTTCTTGCTTCCTCTCCTCAACGAGAAATACTTCACGAGATTGGTCTTATATGCACGAACAGTAACCATCAAATTACAATATTTCGAACCCCGATCTATTTAAGTCATGACGCCTCAAATGTCAAGTAGGATTGTCCACCCACGCGCCCCCAGGGCACATCTCCAAGTGGTAAAAGAGGAGGGTGGAGAAATCCAGCTTTACCTGAGGCTGCTGCATCAAGGGTTTGAATCCTGAAATATGGATTTGGCTCTTGGATAAGTGCAAGTGTACAAGTAACCTTCCACCCTGTACCCTTGGAGGCATAACCTGCGATTTACCTCTCTCACGATGCTCCAGGGCAGGGGTGGTGGGGGGCCCTTAAGGTTAGGGTTTAACCTTTAGGATTGTCCACCCACGCAATTCAGAGTCGAAGGTGTCAACATTTGGATAAAGAATCTTATCATGTAAGATCCCGTCGCTCTCTCTTTCTTGAACTGGAACAGCAAATAACATGGGTTCTTTAAATGCGGTGTAAAAATGCATGGCCAAAACTATGATTGCGTAGTAATTAATGTCTGTGCCAACTACAAAGAATTGCCATGCATATTTCCATGGATTTATTAAATGTTGAACTCCAACTTTAAGGATTTTTCACTGCCTAGTCCCTGGAGCATCGTGAGAGAGGTTAATTATGGGATGTGCTCCAACAGGCCAGGAAATAAAAATTACCTGTACACTAGTGCCCACAAAAAATCTCAATCCATGTTTCAGGAATCGAACTTTCACACTGCGATTGCCAGCAAAGTTGAGTATACTTCACATTCGTCCTTTGCACTACTGGAATATGTCCAGGGACCATATTTCCATAGATTATTACAACTACCTTCTGTCGTCCAACAATATTGTTGCTTTGAGTACACAATTTTCTACGAACTTTTCTATTTCGAAAAGATATTTAAGATGAATACGAACTTTTATGCCATATTTGGTAAGAATAACATCAAATTCTCATAATCTCATTTATTGGTTATATTAAATTATCTAATTTTATTTAGTGTAATTAAATTAAAAAATCTTAATGAAGTGAGCAACCGGCGGCTCCAAACATGGTATGATGACACCGTGGACCAAGACATTCTAACAAAGGGTAGATTTGTTAATAAGGGTAAATTTCATCTATGGACACTAAACTTTCGATGAAATCTCAATTAGATCACTACAATTTAATTTATATGAATTGGATCATTGAACTTCAATTTAATTTTAACTTTCACTACTTTATCACGTTCCATCATTTAACGTCTTCCGAATTGACATAAAATTGCTTAGTTGGTAGCTATACTATGATTGATCTTCGACGTAAACCCTAAGTCGCACCTTAGGAGCAAAAATGGTGAAATAAAAATTATGGTAAAAAGACTTGTTCATTTTATTTTTGCACTTTTATAAATTTACATGTAACAAAATATTTATGTAAGAGATATTTCAAAATGATTGAGTAAGGGATCATTTATTTTATGACTGTCAATTATATAACTTTCATCAATTTGGAATATGACATTCGGAAGATGACACGTGGCAGAGTGGTGAAATTTAAATTTAAATATTTGAATTAAACTAAACAAAGTTCAATGAACAAATCAAAGTTTAATGATCCAAATAATATTTCGCAGAAATTTCAGGTACTTTAGACGAAACTTATAAAACTAATAATTATATCAAATTTTAAATTGTCACGAGTTAAGTAGCTTCTATCAAGTATTATCCCATTTGTATAAATTAAGGGTCAATTATATATATTTAAATGAATGATGAATATTCTAATAATTTCAATGCGAAAGAGCATCTCAACTAAAGATGATCGATGACATTTTTGGGTTGTGTGATAATTTTTTATTTTTTTTGAAGTTTTACAAATTTTTCAAGTGACCAAAATTTGATTTTAATTACGAATTTTACGGGATTCGAAATTTTTATTAACTTTTAAGCACACTAAGAGCCCATTTGCAGGGTTTTGGAAAGTTAAAAATTACTTTTGAAATTAAAAAGCTATGAGAAAACAGAAAACTTGCTTAAGATAACTTATTAGAAAGCTTGTCCGTACGAAACAAGCAAAAGCGGAAGTTCTACCTAATGAGCCCTAAATCTGTCAAAATTCTTTTATCAAAAGTTTTGTCAAGCAAGCACGCGGTTTAGTAAATCCAGCAATATGTCAAAATTCTATAGTAATTATGCATTAATCGTGATTTGACAAGACTTAAGTGCCTCGAATTAAGGGCCCGTTTGGTATAGATTTTGAGAATTGATTTTTTGACCGTTAGAAGAAAAGTGGGGTCCACATGTGAGAGAAAAAGTCAAAAATTACGGCTTGAATAGTAAAATAACGGTCAAAAAATTAATTTTTTGGGGCAAAAAATCCCTACCAAACGGGGCCTAAATGAAGCTAAATGGCTGACCTTGGTCTTTACCGTAAAAGTTGGGCTAAAAGAAATGCTCCAGTCCACACGTTTGTATAGGGAGAATTCAATAAAATCCAAACAAATTAAAGAAAATAAACTAAAATTTGGTTAACTGTACTATCCATTATTAAGCATAACACTTTTAATTGAACAAGCAACGCATTCATATTGTTGGCCTATAAATAGAAGCTTCAGCCTTGAAGTTCTACACCATTTTCAATTAAATTAAAACCTTTGCAGTATCTATCTCCCAAAACTTATAGTTTTCCGATACAAACGTGTTTGGTTTTTTCCATAGAGCAAGAGAGATGCTGAGCCATATAGTCGAGGCTTTCACGGGGAAAAATGAAGAAGAAAATAAGAAGAAGATCAAAGGGAAAGTCGTGTTGATGAAAAAGAATGTGTTAGATTTCAATGATTTCGGTGGTTCAGTTCTTGATCGAGTTCATGAGTTATTAGGCCAAAAGGTGTCTCTGCAGCTCATTAGTTCCATCAATGGCGATCCTGGTCAGTTCTTTATCTTCTTTTTTCTCTCAGTAAACTAACTTGAAGTGCCTATCTTTGTTTTATACATTAATGATATGTTGAACTGAATATACTTAAAAAAACGACGAGAGAGATCGGACACTTTCTATCATGTTGTTCTATTTGGTCAAAGTTGGGTCGACGGGTTGTGATCATGTGGGCTGGCCGAGCCCTCATGCCATGTGATTGGTTTGGCGTCTAAATTCAAACTATAACTCCCATAAACCTCTATCACGTCCTTTAACATGATCCCGAACAATTAGCATGAAAAAATAATCGAGAAAACACGAAAAGTTATGTATCAAAAAGAAGAGTTCTATCATTTGGCAAGAACAAAAGAGAAAGACAAAGGATTATTCGAAGAATAAAACTAAATGGCTAGGGTTAAAGACAGGGTCAAATCCAAGGGCGCCTTAAGCCTGACCAAAGAGCGTGGCTCTTATTCGAAACATGGGTACAGACAATTGCTGTACTTTTTCTGCAAGTAGTTGAGTACCATAACTCGTGGTTTCTTTATCAACGACACTTTTTGCTTTGCTTTTATCTCATACGTTCAAAGTTTTTTACTGCAAAAAGTGGGAACCAAATTTCTTTTAGTGGTGAGACTTGAGAATAGGCAAAAATAATTAGCTCAAGTTTCACCATTATCCATTTACAAAAATTATACACGGAAACGAATTTGATTTAAATTTAAAGAGACGTGTTGAAGATAAGATTTAAATAAATTTTCTGACTGTTTAAGATTTTAGATTAAACGATTAATAAATGTTATACATATACATTTGGACGTTAACCAGCCACACTCTCCTCCCACGATCAAATGAGATCCTCGAATTCAAATACGCGTCCTTGACATGGTCCCCTTTGTTTCTCATTAATGTAAGAATGATAATGAAAAATATAGTCATTACACATGAGATAGAAATTCAAATATAGTGATTTGATGTGATGGATAATGATCGTATTTTTAATTTTAATGACCAAATAATGGAAAACAAACAACGCGACTTTGAAATATTTCATTATTTGTAGTGCAAAAGTACAAAATCTTGTCAAGACGAACTAATATCCACAATATTCATACCCGTGACTAGATAAACTGGGTAAAGTATCTCTAGAGTCTTGGACTAACTTCACCATCTCTCAAATCATGTCCACCACACAAAAATTTATCTCTTATTGTTGTATTTTTATCCACATCTTTTTTTTAACACATTTTTGTCTTTTATCTTCTATTAATTGTTACATTTGTCTACGATGATTATTTCTATCAAAATATTAAATGAATGGCAAATTTTTTTTCCTTATTTAAAATAAGTGACTAATAAGTCTTTTTATGCCATTGGAATGGACTTTATAGACGAAATCGTCATCAAGGATTAGATGTGCAAATTAACGAAACGTTGATGATAAAAAATTAAAAATATAAGTACGATAATAAGCAATAGTTGAAAATCTTTAATAGCAATTAAAAAGTTATAAACTAAAAGAAATTGTGATAACAATATAATTAGCCTTATGACAATTATAGAGAAGGGCGACTATATTGACACCATAAATTATTTAAATTTACCATATTATAACTACTGTAAAGGTCTCTAACCTTATAGCCACATTTATGTCAAATTTTACCCTATGGGATGGCAAAGGGTCGAGCCGACTTGGCTTGACCCTTTAACCCATAAGCTCGGCTCGGGCTCGTGGCAAGCCGAGCTCGTTGTTCTGGAGCAAGCTCGTGAGTCGGGCCGAGCCCACGAGCCTCTCGAGAGCTCGTGATTTTTTTTATTTTTTTAATTATTATTATTTTTTTTGAAAATTTGGCAACTTTTTGTCACTTTTTTGCTGGGGATCGTAAAGGCATCTACTCCCGCTAAACTTTACTGGCATGGCCGGTGGCACACCAAATTAGACTTTCTGCAAGTTCCAAACAATTTCTGCATGTTATGAAGTTTCCTAGCTAGGAGCAATTTTTTGATTTAAGTTTTTGTCTTCGATCGTTAATACAAATATCATATTTATTTTTTGGGACAGTTTTTTTTACTCATAAATTTGACACACTTATTTGACAAATAATCACGACCTTTAATTTAAAATAACCCAATGCTTAATATGTATTTAATTAAGATCATAAGAGAGTGTAGTAATAACCACTTGAGATCCATAAGATATTGAGCAATGAAAATGACTTAAATTAAATGTCACAATTATTTGTTAAATAAGTGTGTCAAATTTATGAGTAGGAAGAACGATTTCGTTTATTTTTCATCATAAAAAATTTGAAACATACATAATTTTCATAAATACATAATATCGATAATTTTCATAAAATTTTGAAAGAAAATATTATAAACTTAACATGTTTCAAATCGCTAGAATTATTATCCCCAAACTTTATTTGAATGAGAAGATATTGATGTCATGTTTGGTTAAAACTAAAAACTTATAAGTAAATAAGGTCTTGAATAAAAAACTAATCCAAATATTATTTGAATATAAAATTTATATAGTGATGCATTTGACTTAATTTGAATGAATAATATTAAAAAAAAAAAATTGAGAGAGAGAGAGAGAGAGAGAGGTTATGATCTTATTCATTCTATGGTTCAATTATGTCCAATAATATTTAGCCAACATAGCATAAAAGCTACACCAATTGACAAACTTACTTATTTACTTATAAGTAAACACTTTAAGCTTAGCCAAACATGCTCCAAGCATGCAAAGTCTAATGAACATGCATGGTTTGTAATTGCAGAAAATAAGTTGAAAGGAAAGCTAGGAAGAGCAGCATACTTGGAGGATTGGATCACTACATTCACCTCTTTAACCCCTGGTGATTCAGCATTTCATGTCACATTTGATTGGGAAGAAGAAGAGATTGGAATTCCAGGGGCATTTATTATTCAAAATTTTCATCATACTGAATTTTACCTCAAGACACTTACCCTTGAAGATGTTCCTGGACATCATGGTCCCATCCACTTTGTTTGCAACTCTTGGGTTTATCCTGCTGAAAAGTACAAAACAGACCGCGTTTTCTTCACAAATAAGGTACTTTGCCCCCTCAAGTTGAGATATGCAATCCACGAATAGCTGTTTCCGACTAAATTTTTGACACCTAGGCACCTCAATTCTTGTTGGCAAATGGAAAGATATCACTGTACATTACAAGTGATATCACATTGAAATGACGTCTTCTCATTTGCTCACAATAACTGATGTGATGAGGTGTCAAAAATTTATTGGCGGGACAACAAAACATAACCCGCTGCCAACTCGTCCATCGTTGCTGTCGTACTTGCATAATTTTTGAAGGTCAAATTCACTTAATATTAGGGATTGAACTCTAATCTAATCTCAATTGTTAAAGCAATAACAAGTAAATAAAAAACAAGCAAAGTGGAGGAATAAATTTACATCGACTCCTCAATATAAAAGTTATGTCCACTTCTTGTTGTGGCACGTATTCACTTTAATGAAGAAAAATTATATTATTCATGCCTCTATAGTCCAAAAATGACTTCCTCATAAAATACTTATACGGTGGGAATTTCAGGTCGGTGTTTGGTCGAGGGAATAAGAAAATGGTAGGATTAGACTTTGTACAATTTATTGTCTCAGTCTATGAAGCATTGACATTTTTTCGACTCTTAGAGTAGACCTAAATTTTCGATGGGATATAAGTTGAATTAACACATTGTACTAGAAACTTTAGGGACATAACTCTTCCAATTTATTACTTGCTGCAGACCTATCTTCCAAGCGAAACACCAGAACCACTAGTCAAATACAGAGAAGAAGAATTAGTTAACTTGAGAGGAAATGGAAGTGGACAACTTGAGGAATGGGACAGGGTATATGACTATGCTTACTACAATGATTTAGGAGATCCTGATAAAGGTTCCGATTATGCTAGGCCGGTTCTTGGAGGATCCGTGGAGTATCCGTATCCTCGTAGGGGAAGAACCGGTCGGCCTCCAACAAAGACAGGTAAAGTTATGATGCATCCATTACATTACAATTTTGATACAAGCATTATGTAAGTTGATCACATTATGTCTTCAATATTGTATTGGCAGATCCGAATTCTGAGAGCAGGATTCCACTGCTTACGAGCTTAGATATTTACATTCCAAGAGATGAACGTTTTGGACACTTGAAGATGTCGGATTTTCTTGCTTATGCACTAAAATCCGTCGTTCAGTTTCTTCTCCCGGAGTTTGAGGATCTATGTGACAGTATTCACAATGAGTTTGACAGCTTCGAAGATATTCTTCAAATCTATGAAGGAGGTTTCAAGCTACCAGAGGGTCCTTTGCTCAAAAATATTTTCGAAAACATTCCCTTTGAGATGCTAAAGGTACTTCTTCGAAGTGATGGCGAGGGACTTTTCAAATTCCCATTGCCTCAGGTTATCAAAGGTACATGACACGCCTATGTTATATTCGTCTCCTTCTCCCCGTCCCTCCTCTCCCTCTCTCAATCACACTAATTGTCATGTGCCATTGTGTTGGAACAGATGATAAATCTGCATGGAGAACAGATGAAGAATTCGCGAGAGAGATGTTGGCAGGAGTGAACCCTGTCATAATTAGCCGTCTCCAGGTACATTGAGTGTACGTTTGATATACAGTATTTGACTACACTAAATATGCAATAGACAAAATATTAGCTTACTTTTCTCTCTTATAATTATGTTGAGATTTCAAACTACAAGCCTAATGCTTTGTCAATTTCATTTTACTTTCTAACTTGCAGGAGTTTCCTCCGACAAGTAAGCTCGATCCGAATCTCTATGGTGATCAGACTAGCACAATATCAGGAGGCCACATAGAGAATAAGTTGGACGGACTAACAATTGACGAGGTAATCACAAGTGGCTTATTTCTTTTCAACTGATATGATCTAATTGAAATTCATCTTCTCAATTAGAGAAGATTTGACTCATCAATTCTGGAAAATAATAATGGTGTGTAATTTTATCGACAGGCAATCAGGACGAACAAACTGTTCATATTGAACCACCACGATGCACTTATGCCATATTTAAAGCGAATAAACTCGACTACCACAAAGACTTATGCCTCAAGAACTCTGCTTTTCTTGCAAAAAGACGGAAGTTTGAAGCCATTAGCAATTGAACTGAGCTTACCTCATCCAGATGGATACCAGTTCGGTGCCATTAGCAAAGTATATTTACCTGCTGAACACGGGATCGATAGTTCCATATGGCAATTGGCTAAGGCTTATGTCGCCATCAACGACTCTGGTGTTCATCAGTTAATTAGCCACTGGTACAAAATAAGATACAATACTTTGTTTAGCTTTGTTTAGCACTCATTAATCTTAAACCAGCATTGATTAATGTGTATTCGCTCGCAGGTTAAATACACATGCTTCAATCGAGCCATTCGTGATTGCAACAAATAGGCAGCTAAGTGTGCTTCACCCTATCCATAAGCTTCTTCATCCTCACTTCCGAGACACAATGAACATAAATGCTGTGGGACGACAAATCTTGATTAATGCTGGAGGAATCCTTGAGGCGACAGTTTTTCCGGGAAAATATTCCATGGAAATGTCAGCTGTGATTTATAAGGACTGGGTTTTCACAGAACAAGGACTCCCTGCTGATCTACTTAAGAGGTAAAATACTAATTATGAAAATGAACACAATCATACTATTATGGAAGTAATATCGGTTTTTTGTTCATATATTTAACAATGTGATCGATATTTTTTTTTTTCAGAGGAATGGCAGTGGAGGACTCGAATTCACCACATGGCCTTCGTCTTTTAATCGAAGACTATCCTTATGCTGTTGATGGACTGGAGATCTGGTCAGCAATAAAAACATGGGTACAGGACTACTGTAACTTCTACTATACATCAGATATTTTGGTTCAGAAAGACGCTGAACTCCAGTCCTGGTGGACCGAAGTCCGGGAAAAGGGACATGGCGACAAAAAGAACGAGCCCTGGTGGCCTAAAATGCAAACTCGAGGAGAACTAGTCGACTCCTGTACTACTATAATATGGATGGCATCTGCTCTTCATGCTGCTGTCAATTTTGGGCAGTACCCCTATGCTGGCCACCTCCCGGTTCGTCCTACCTTAAGTCGGAGGTTCATGCCGGAACCTGGAAAACCCGAGTATGATGAGCTGAAGACTAACCCGGATAAGGTTTTCCTGAAGACAATTACTGCTCGGCTACAGACATTACTGGGCATTTCCTTGATAGAAATTTTGTCAAGCCATTCATCGGACGAGGTTTACCTTGGACAGAGAGACGCTCTTGAATGGACCAAGGATGTGGAACCACTTGAAGCTTTCGACAGATTTGGGACGAAGTTGAGGGAAGTAGAGGAACGAATCAAACAGATGAACAACGACAAAAAATGGAGAAACCGGGTTGGACCAGTGAATGTTCCATACACTTTACTTTATCCTACAAGTGAAGAGGGACTTACTGGCAAGGGAATTCCCAACAGTGTGTCAATCTGAAGCTTATCTGTTTAGGGATATTACATTTGTATGCATATTCCTTACATTTCTTTTACTGTTGAAGAAGGTTTGATGAGTGAAAATAGTAATGCAGATCGATGTATTCTCATTTACAATAATGAATAAAAGTACAACATTATAACTTATGCAACATAGAACAAATGATTCAATTTAAGAATATCTCAGCTCACTAGTTGGTTCTAATATCACTAATGCCCAGTGTACAGAATTTTAGTCACAGATGTTTTACAAGCTCCTCATTGTGCAGGGCCCCACATGTGTTTAAAAAAATAAAATTATGTGGGTCCCACGTATGTGTATATTCTGGAAAAGGTTTGTAAGATTAGCCTATGTATATGAAGCAAGTCTCTTCTAATATTGTCCAAATTCGACCTAAATGCCACGTCGTCCAGGCTAACCGATGTGGATACTCAAAGAGCGGTTCAAAAGCTAGTCGGCTAAAGCATACTCGATTAAGTTTAATGCCGGACCTATGAAGACAACTGAGCCGAACAATTGAGCTATAAGCCTCAGACTCTCATCATAATAAGTGGTCAAGTCATAATGCCTTTTACTATCAGCATGGTTAAAATTTGTCATTTTGAAAACGCTATGGAATCTTCTTTATACATGACTAATTGTGAAAAATAAAGATACTTGTGATATTGAGACCCGACAAATTCTATCAAAACCAATTTGGCCCCGTAAAACCTAGAATTGGTTTAGGGAGCAAATCTGTTAGCCTCTAATATCATAGTACGAGAAACTGCTAGTGTGTTTTGCATTTGAGTTCAAAAAATTGCAATTTTATGTAATTTTTGTGATAGAAGATTATTAAATCAATTTTAAAAAAAAGATTTAATCCAAATTTATCGAGTTACTATAATCTGGAACTTTAGTGAAATCGGAATAGCTTCGTATACTACTACATTAGTAAGAAATTGAATCAGGTTCAAATATTTCTTATTGATTTAGAAACGAAACACCAATAAACTTTTTTTAATCATTCCCTGATGAATTATGGTCTAAATTGTTGAATTTAGTGTTGAATGGGTAAATTTCAATGATCATACAAGAAATTGGAAGAAACGAGAGGAAAACCCGGAAAATTGACGAAAATGGCAAGATTCAAAGTTTGGGAACCAAAATGTAGATATTCAAAAGTTGTGTCGAATTTTACGGAAAAGATTCGAGAATGTTTGGAGTCAATCGGATGAGGAAAGAAGTCAAAGGAGTAAAATAGAGTAGAAGTATTTTCACAAATCAACTTCCAGCCGAAAAAAATTATGCTCCGAATTGTTAGCCTCAATTTGATAACTCTTTTTCGGTAAGAAAAAGTTTGAATTGGAGATATGCCACTTCTACAAGAATTATAGTCATTTGAGTTATTTTTCCAACGCATTTTGAATCACCTCATTTGGATATCGAAAAATGAAAATATGATCAAAATATTGAAGGCCGTCGAACGAAAAAAAAGCTATTGGCATGGTTATAATTATAATGCCTTGTGGTCGCACGCCACATTGCAGGGAGAAATCTGGCTTCCAAACATTAAACCATGTGGTCGCATGGGTTTATACCATGCAGTGGCATGGTTGTAAAATCCAGTCGACTTCCAGGTTTCCTTCTACGACTCAAACACGATATGGGAAGGATTTTGACGATATTCTTGACCTAAATTCGTACCCTACAAATACAAGATGACCCCAAAACATAAAACCCCCTCTTTTTATGCATTGAAACAACTCAAACGCTTGGCATTTTATGGGAAATTGAGAGAGAATTCAAGGGAATACACATCACCAAATTTATTCTATTCATTGGAAGGAAAATACATATGAATCCAGATTTGAAGGCAACATTCCAAGGATAATAACATTAAGCAATCCAAGTTTTGAAATATCAGTTGGAAGAAGGAGAAGATCTTGGTGTAATATTGATATCTTACTCTATATTCATATTCAAAATAGGGTGATGTCTTCCATTATCATATCTTATTTTTCTTCCACTAATATGAGTAGCTAAATCTAGTTTAGGGCGAACAATGTAACCAATTTGGAAACCTTTATTTCTTTTATTTGAAATTTTTCTTTATATTTTATGTGTTGATTTTTTTTTTATGAATTTAATGCATTTAATTACTTGATAACTAATTAAATGATTTGATATTTTTACGAATTAAGAGGCGAGCCTAAGATTTAGACCATATCATAAAACCTGGTAAAATGATATAATGTGTAGAGATACATATATTAATTGCTGTGGCTATATAGGAATTTTTAGAACTATTATTTCGTTTAAATAATGTTGATTCGCATAAAGATATGAAATTGAGTTATTTAAATATGTTCAATGAGAGTTCGAGAGGGGTAAATTGAAAATAATAAAAGAATTTGATCAAGCACTATTTTAAATTTTATGAATCTCAATATAAGAAGTAAATGTGATCAATAGGTGAAATTGTTATGCTCTAACATCCATTTATAATTTGAATTCTCAATACTTTTTTGTTGCATCCACATATTTTTCAATGCTTAGATTAAAAATCAAAATCAATCACTGTTTCTTTTGTTTTCATCAAATAAAAGTTATAAATAATAAATTGTGTTAAAATATAGTTCTCGCGAAAACGATAGTTCGAATTCATAGATCCACTATATTACTTATTATGATCCGTATACTTGCTGATAAAAATTAACAACACACCAATTTTTAAGACAATGGCACCAGACATTAATTTTGGATAATTTTGTTTTGTAATTATGAGAAAATAATGTCGAGGAAAGTATAAATTTGTTCCAGTTCAAGTGTATGGAAGTGCAGTGTCAAGGGTTTAAGCATTCCCCCTTCGTGTTCCATGGAAGGGTTTTAGTTTTCCACTTGTTTTTCCTCTCTCTAAAACAAGAAATGGTCTTCTCTCACCTTCTCCTCAGGCGCCTAAAATGCCACCCAATTGCAAAACCTCAACCTTTCGTCGTCTACAAAATTCCCCAAAACCCCTTATCTTCCCTCCCCAGCACGGATTCCGCACAATCCAATCCCACCCCTGCCGCCGAGCAACCCACCTCCTTGTCAGCTCGGATGAGCTTCGTCTTCGAACAAATTGATGCCATCGATAAACAACGGACCGAAAAGGACCAAACCTTGCAGCGCATCCGCGCTTGGCGCGAATCCAAGAGGCAAAACCCCACTGAGTCAATCCGGGATTCATCCAAGGCTGATTCAGAAGAGGAACTTCAGTCTGGATTCGTACAAGAGATTAAGGATGAGAATCGTAGTGAAGGGTTGTTAGCGAATGTGAAACGGGAGGTGGAGTTGGTGCACCCGTGGCCGGAGTGGATAGAGCTGATGGAGAGGCTGGTGCAGCAGAATTATTTCGATCACAGGAGGAAAGATGAAGATGGTATGATGGAAAAGCTAGGTTTCGATGTATCTGAAGCTGCTGAGGACAAAGTAGCTGATTTTACCCGGGATTTTAAGAGTGTACAAACTGCGGTCCTCAATTTCGGCAAAGACCGCTTTGATATTTTGAGGTCAATTTTAGTGCTTAGTATAGTTAGTAGTAATGCATTTATATACATGTTTGTGCGTGTATTGCATGTGCGGTCATATTGTTTGATTAGTAGAAGAATGTTGATTGATTTTAGACTATGGTGTTTGATGAAATGTTTAATTGCTGAAAATGCAATATTATGCTTACATATGACGTGTTTTTTTGGGCCTTGTTTCTGGTTTTTGACAAATGGTTTAAAAGTTAATTTTCCTTAAAAAGAGATGCATAGTAAAATCTAATTTCAATTTACCTATACTCATATTTAATTTATTTAATTCGCAATTGGATGAGAAGTTTCAGTTTAAGGTATGTGGGGCATCTTGCCGTCAGTGATGATTTGGGTAAGAAAGAAGGAATTTACATTGATTCTGTTTTAATGTAAGTGAATTTATTTTTTCCTTTTCTTCTCTAAAGGTGTGGGGAGAGGGGATATAAAGGGGTACAAGATACAGAACTGTTATTGTTATGAAGAAAAGATGTCGATAAGATAATCTTTGTTGGTGTACACTGCCTTAGTGGCTTGTGATTTAACTTATACGTGAGGAAGTCCCAGTCTCTGTTTGGGTGTTGAAGAAGTTGGAAAGACCCTTGGATGGATCATTGTGCTCCACCTTGTTATCTGGATACTCTGTGACCTCTCTATACAAGAATTAGAGAGGATTATAAGTTCATCTAACTAATTCATTTGCCTAGTGGTTATTATATCCAGTTGAAGCATTACAATCTCATTATACATACCCCCATTACACAGCAAGAATAGAGAATACAGAAGAAGTGACCTTAAACCACAACCCTTTTGGTACTGATGTTTTGCAATCTCTTTTTCTCTTGTTTGGGATCCGGGTGTTTTCATTTCTTGACCATGATAGAAGATATAGAATAAAAAAAGGAGTGCTAGATTGATTGACCAATCTCCATAACATAAAAATAGAAGAATTTTTGTTCTATATAAGCTGCCTCAGAATAGGTACAGCATTTTTCCGGAATACAGAAAACAGTATACAATTTATTAATTACACTATTGAAGTAGTTATGCACACACATTATTTGCCTATAGAGTTGATTTTTATGCTAATCATTTATTTCTGTAGGGTTAAAAAGCTTTTTGAACTACTTATCAAAAAAAAATGAAGAAGCTTTTTTTAATCAAAAAAAGCTTTTTGAACTACTGCTATTTTTTTGGTTGATGTTTTCTGTGAGTGGTGGGGTGTGAATTTATTGTGCATATTCTGTTGCAGTCATTTTATATGTGCCACATTGCTTGAGACATGCTTAGAACAAAAATTGATTTCAGGTCATTGTCAAGACAGGATATCCAAATATTGGTTGGTTATGGATGCCCTAGTACAGACAAAAGGGTGGTTTTTTCTGCAAAATTGTTGAGGAAGCATGTGCATTTGGATGAAGGAGATGTAAGTTTTAAAAGTCTGCACTCAATTTTAATTTCACAAGATAGTACAAATCCAGTAAGCATTTGCATGGGGTTCTTATAATTAGATTGAATAATCAAGACAAAGCAAAAAATAAAGCTTATTATGCCTTTATATTACATTCCTTGCATTACAATAAGATATATTCTCTGCAACAAAATATATAGATCTAAAATGGTGGAAAGCTTGTCAGCACATTCAATTCATTCTGATGAGAAGACTATAATATTCTGGGTTTTGCTTTGTTCAGTTGGATCTTTTTTACTGATTGAAACCAAATCATACCGGTAATTAGAAACCTCAATACAGAGATCTTCACGGAATAACATTAATACAAATATTAATGGTTATTTTTTGAATGAAGGTAAATTTGAAAACGATTCTATTTACCACCTCATTGTACTACTGAATGTTAAATCCCAGAAAGATGATTTTTGGAATTTCATTGTATTTTTTAGTTTAATGCATTGTGATCTCTCCTTTGGCCTCTTAGTTTAATCTGACAATTGAGACTTGCCATCAGCATTGAAAACACTCATTTGCACAAACATTTTAACAATTAAAAAGGAGAGAATCAGTGCTGATTTACAATTTGCATTTCATTTCCAGGTCCCCAGTTGTACTGGTTCTCCAAAAAAATTGAGATTAGTACTCTGTATCCACGTGGGTTGTGTAAAAAAAATTAAATTCTGAAACAACGTTGTTAACAATGGAGTGCTAGCACACACTGGTTTATTGCTTAATAATGCAAAACATACACATGTAGTTTGGCTGCAGTTTGTTATCATCTTTAATTTGGTTTATCAGTTATGATCAGCAAATAAGTTGTTATTGGAAGTTGCATTGCACCATTTCTTATTGTTTTTCATATTTCAGGTCTGCAGTTCCTGCAGTTTGAGGAGTTCTTGTGAAAAAGCATATCTTCTAACAAATAAAGAGGATGAACCAAGGACTATTGATGTCATGCGAGTCCTACTGTCTTATGGTTTTGATCCAGTGAATGGATCAGTCAGTAATATGTCCCTTTTGAAAATGAAATCTGTTAAGACTGTTGTCCGTAAGTTGATCCATGAGGTAGTCAAGTTAGGTTCAGTTCCTATAGATCCAAGTCTTCCTTCACCTGTTATTAAGAAGCCTCCGCCGAAGGTGAAGCAACCACCTCCCCCTCCAAAGAAACGAGTCGGACGTGATGACATTGAAATGAAGAAGGGCGATTGGCTTTGTCCAAAGTAGGTTTCACTGTCTGTAGTCCAGTTATTTTTTGTTCTTTGTCTCATAAGTTCATATTTGCTCCACCTTTACGTAATATATCTTTCACAATAGTTCTTTGTTGGCTCTCCTATAGCAAAAACAGTTTTTTAATTCAACAATCATGTTTATTTGCTGCATGTTGTTAATATTAATTATTTGTCTCAGGTGCGACTTTATGAACTTTGCAAAAAATACTGTGTGCCTGCAATGTGACGCCAAGCGCCCTAAAAGACAGTTGCTTCCAGGGGAATGGGAGTGCCCCCAGTATGTATCCACTTTTCTCTTTCCCTATGCTGCTTGGAGTTCTCTAGTTTGATTCTCTTGTTGTCAATACCATATATGAGAAGAAATTCAAACTTACGAGCTGGTGTCAACAAAACTGGAAAATATCTTCTACATGCTCAAAGCTTTTGTTGTTTTGGATGAGTGGTCTTCTAACGTATCAGTAAAAGTTAGACATGACCACTTAGAAATATTCACATACTTCTCTTCACTAATCTTGTCCTGTCCGGTTTACCAAATATGTCCTTATGGCATGTTGGGAGGATTGAATAATTTTTGATGGTGTTTAAGTACAAAAAGAAGATAAATAATTTTGTTTGTTATATTGTCCATGATACTGCATAACAAAAATGCACGTAATGTTTTATTACATTTACGTCATGGAACAGCCGTAGGAACAACTGGTTCTGAACCAGTGGAGGGTCTTCCATCCTTCAATCTTGGACCTTAATGTTATATAAGTGCTTTAAGCTTTCTGCTTTAGAGATTTACAGAATACCTGATCCCGTGCTTTGACAGGTGCAATTTCTTGAACTATAGGAGAAACACAGTATGTTTTCATTGTGAGCACAATCGCCCAGCTGATACATATACAGAGCCCCAATTTCCGGAAAAGCGACATGGTAACAGGTTGAGGGCGGAAAAGATCTCTAGCACGGAAGAGGTTTCTAATGCATGGAATTTTGATTTTGATGACAACGAATCGGATGGAGCAGATGTAGCTTCATTTGAATATGCAGATTCTAAGATACCAGGTGATGATTTTCCGTTAAGTCAGCAAGCCATTGGTGAAATTTCTAAAGGAGATGAAGATGGTTTCTACAAAAGCAGCAGGCCTCCAAGGATGAATGAACCAGAGTATTCTGATAAACCTAGAACAGGATTCAACGATTTTGATGAAGAAGATGATATTGACAATTACGAGTTAGATACTCGAAATGAGGTATCGAAGACTTCTCGAATAGGTTTCTCTGAACTTGAATCTGACTCTGGATCTGAAGATATAGAAAGTAATGACCGGAATTGGAATGCTCGTGATAGAACTAGTTCTCGGACGCACAGCAAGAAACCATCACATCATAAAGAGTCATTCTCTGGTTCTGAGGATGCTGAAGTAGACTTTGATTCTGGTGACGACCTTCCAGTTCATCCGAATTGGAAATCAACCCATGTTGCAAATTTTAAACAGAGAACTAGAGATAGACGTCCCCTAAGTTTTGGTTCAGACGATGACCTTGGGTACAGTTCTGGCAGTGATGAAACTTTTAGATCCAGGCAAAATGAAGGGAGAGGACGGGGTTCTAACAGAATTGCATTCAAGAAACGAGGAAGATCTAATATTGGAGCTGGACCTTTCTCAGAATCTGATGATGACCTAGGTTATCGCAGAGATGAACGAAAAGGTAAAAATGCAGGACTGAATCGCCGAGGAAAATCTTCAACTGGCCGTGGGGGTATGATGGGTTATCGGAAAAACTCTCCGAGGGATGATATGGACAGATCTTCCCAAGGTCCCCGCTATGATAGAGGTACTCGAGAGAATGGTTATGAGCAAGGAAGGAATGCTAGAGATAGTGGCTCGCCAAAGTTCCGAAGCCCGAGACGAGGAGGGTCATTTAATAATCAAGGAGGAAGATCTGATAGTTTTGATAATCGATCGGACAGTTATCTGGACGATGAGAGATACCGGAGGCCAAGGGTAAACGTACGATGAATGTAGCATTGTCTACGAACAAAGTCCTCATGAGGGAAGCAGGCTGCTGATACTCTCGGGGAACAACTTGCTCATTTTCATCTGATGCAAATTAACAAGACTGTAATGCATTTTAGATTTTGGTTGCTGTACATAACCTGCGTAACTAATGCTCTCTGCCTAAAATGTGTTTTGTTCTTCTTAGGATTCTGCTTCTACAGATTCTGTATAACTAAAAACTGGTGTCTTTTCAGAATATGACCTGAGCATTTATCCATATTCATTTTTATTTGCAATAAATTTACATTTTTTTTTCACTAATTTGACATTTGTATAAATAATCACCATATTTTTTATTTTAAGGGTAGTCTCATTTTTTTTTTTTTTTTTTTTTTCACAGTTTGCTTGAGAAGACGATGACTTTCCAAGAAATTGGGCTCGAAATAAAACCCAGAGGAAGTCGTCATAGTAATTACCATGGAGAATGGTAGTATTTGGATGTTCGATCTCCAAATCCTCGATGGCTGCTGCGAATGCTCGTTATGATAGATTGAGGAGCATAATGCCAATAAAAAAACAGTGGAGATTAAAATTGCAGGAGGCGCTATAGATTGAGGACTGCAGCTGCAATTTCCCTTAATTGCACAAATTAAGGAACATCTTATACAATTAACTAATCGATTATTATTTCAAATTGTGAATGTTTTGCTTATGAGTAATCCCATTCTCTTCTTGTAATACAATGAACACAAGAAATTGTAAATTCCATATTCGACTAATATGCAGTCGATTCTAAAGTGTGTATCTTTTTACTTTTAAATGACAACTTTATTCTCTCTTTGTTATCATTTCATCAACGAGCATAAATTAATTAATAGACATGAGATATGACTTTTGTACTTATCAATTTGTATCCATCTCTTTAGGTATAATTTTCTTTGATCTTTTTTCCTTCTCAAACCTATTTGGTAACTACTTTTATGTTCGTAAAAAAAAAAAAAAAAATTACTTATTTGAAAGTGGCTATTTTTAACTCAATTTGAAAGTGTCTTTGTCTTAAAATTAAATAAACTACTAATCTTTAAATTTTAGCATTTAAAAACTCGGTTTTACTACATGCATATAATGATTTACATACATATGTTGTAGTGAGATATGATTGTATTAGAATTTATTTAAAAAAAATAAAAAATCTCTATTCTCTTTTTAACACCTTACCTATATTACTATATGTAAACTATTATGTAACTCCTTATATACAATAAACATTATTCTTAAAAAAAATACCTATTATTTGCTTACCGTTAAACTTTTTAAGCTTAGACAAAACATGCTCTAACATGCAATGTTTGGCAAAGCCTCAAAAAATTAAATATACTTTTCGGAAAAGTAAATACTAACCGAACCGTAATTGTTTGAACTAAATACTCCTTTTATATTTTTGGTAAACATGTTTACAAAAAAAAAAGAAAAAAAGAAAAAATAAACTACTAATCTTTAAATTTTAGCATTTAAAAACTCGGTTTTACTACATGCATATAATGATTTACATACATATGTTGTAGTAAGATATGATTGTATTAGAATTTATTTAAAAAAAATAAAAAATCTCTATTCTCTTTTTAACACCTTACCTATATTACTATATGTAAACTATTATTCAACTCCTTATATACAATAAACATTATTCTTAAAAAAAATACCTATTATTTGCTTACCGTTAAACTTTTTAAGCTTAGACAAAACATTCTCTAACATGCAATGTTTGGCAAAGCCTCAAAAAATTAAATATACTTTTCGGAAAAGTAAATACTAACCGAACCGTAATTGTTTGAACTAAATACTCCTTTTATATTTTTGGTAAACATGTTTACAAAAAAGAAAAAAAAAGAAAAGAAAAAAAAAAGGGAAAGTAACCTAAATTTAGACAAATGTTTGCACTTTGGACCTACGATATTTTTACATATTGCTAGAAGTACTGTCATATCCTGTCATTCACAACCATTTATTCTAAAAACATTATTTTCTATTACACAAGTTAAAAGTTCTCTTTTACTCTTTCTTCTTTGTGTTTGCTATTATCTATATATACTCAACCAATTCGAATGATGAATCATTATGCGTGTTTAAAAAAAGTTATTCTCTTTTATCTTATATCTATACTTGAATTCTAATCTAAACATGTTATTCATGATGTTATTCAATAGAACTTCTTCTCATAAAGTACGAGAGCACGCAAATTCAGGAAATAAATAATCTAATATTATCTTAGCGAAATGTGCTTGGATTTGACCTCGTGTAATAGGTGGAGCTTTATCTAATTAAACCTACTTTAAAGTTAATGTTTCCAACCTTTTATCTTAAGAAATGAAAAGATGCTCATCAGCATCTTCCCTTATGATTCCCACTGTCCATAGGTTGTAACTCAATCCAAGGAAGATATTGGAAAAGTGGTCCCATAGATTTTAGATAAACCCTAATGAACTTTGGCAAAGAATTTATGAGAAGATCAGATTTTAGAAGTCCTTTTTTGTGTAAACATATATCAGATTAATAAAGTATTAGCATGCCTTGTACATACCAAAATCATGTTTTGCAAGGTCCAAGTCTGGAAAATCCTACCCCTTGATCTTGGGAAACTGACTAGAAGTGATTGCTATTCTATAATGTGTGTGAGATAGATATAGAGATAAGAACAGGGAATTATTCACAGACACCGCAACACCTGTATGATGCTTTTTTTGCCCATGATCAGTCCATAACCAATGAATTTTTGTCAAGTGTTGTTCTGTATAAATTCTATCAACCACATTCTGTACACGTAATATAGCACGATAAGAATAAAGATAGAGTTGGAAACCAAACTGCGCGCAGTGTTAGAAACTACAAATGGAATGCGATTGAGACACAAATAGTGTAAAGAAAGAAGGAATTAAAACGAACAATCACTCTATTACAGAAATAATCAAAGCTTTTCTGATCATTGAATATATGTATATAGAACCGAATTCGAGTTGAACTATGTGCCTGGGAAAATTCTATTGTACGAACTATGGACTAGAAACTTAGTAACAAAAATAAATACAGCAACCCAACCATAAAGACTGAAATTAATGGAGCCAAAATACTACCCTATGAAAGAATCAAATGAGATAGAAACAAGGGATCAGGAACCAACGATCTTAAAGATGAAAGGACTAACCTGAAGGTAACCTTAGGCAAGGACAGAAAGGAAAAGCTGCTTATCACACAACAAATCAAAAGCTTAACCTATTAGGTAGACCCATGTATCACCTTGTGTAGCCGATGTGGGACTTTGATTACACTTTCCGAACGAACAGGGCAAAAACAGGCAATCATATCAGAGCCCCGTGCCATTATCAGCAAATGTAGAGGAGTCTTGGAATACAAAGACAAAAAAGAACCACAGTCCTCGCCACCATGACACACTACCAGACATATAACCATCAATAAAAACATAACAAACAAACCAAAATGAATACTGATGCAAGGGAACTCCAGCAATGGAAAACAAAAAAAAAAAAATAATAATAATAAAGAAGGCAAATAATAAGAAACCCTGTTTGCAAGATTTGATTCTTAATAAGGAAAACAAATCTGTGCAAGATTCACTAATACAATAAGACACCAATTACAGAGGAAGAAAGTAATATTTGAGTTTTTGATATTGTTGAAAAAAAGAGCTGCTAAAAGCATACCTTCCCTCAACTGCAAGTTATGTTTACAGCTAATCAACTATTTTTGAGAACATAGACTTAACACTAAGAAAAAACAAATTATAAATTATAAAAATTCAATATAATTGAGACATAAACCGTGAATAAAATAAGAGAATTGTAGAATTTTGTATATGTGATTTACAAAGAGAATAATACTCTATTTATACTTCAATAGGGTTACAAATCGCTGTTTAAGCGAAAGAATAATCACATACAATCTTTAACATTTATTCATATGCTATGGCTGAAGATGCAAATCATTTCTCCCTTTTTTTACAATGAGTTAATCATATTCTAGTTTTTTAGTTTTCAAGAACTATAAAATAAACCCAGAATTATTTAGGGTATATATTGGAGTTCAGTAAATAACGTAACGTTAATTGAGAACTAGTAAGACTCCAGATAAGAGGCTTAAAGTCAGAAATTTAAAAATTGCAACCTGAAGAGTGATAATTCTAGTTCCACTTTTGACTTAAATGGTGAACTAAAAGCTGAGGAAAAACGGGTAGAAAACATTAGATAAACAATTAGATGATGAAGATCTCTATATATTAGCCTCCTGATGGATTCTCTTTTGAGATTTGAGTGTAGGGCAAAAATGCTAATACAGATTTAGAGAGAGATCCCATTTACAATACTTTTTCAATTATTGAAATAAAAATCGATGGAGAAATTGCATTTCAGCACGGTAAAGAGCAAGTTCTTTGTGATTGGGTTTCATTATGTTGATAATCATGTATGCTCTTTCTTAAGAGAAAAATGGATCAGTATTTCTCGACGATTGAAACTGTAATGTAGAGCAGTATAGATGAATAGTTACTTGGCTAATATGCAAAGAACTATTTATATTTTACAATTAACGCGTGATCCTGTACTCCGATCTTGTCTACGCTTTATCCATCAATCATACTTCCATAAATTAAAAATAAGTACTGCAATCCCCAATCTTCAAATACCGGAAATTATATACATATGGATATAACTATTAATGCAACAAGGTGTATGGTTTCTTTGATCTCGAAATTTTCAAGAAAAACGAGGATTCCGCAGGAACAAGAATTTTGAAAAGTTACCTGGAAGATAATTTTCACAGTTCATTCGCGGGTGGAAACAATCTTAAAGAATATTTACTCATCTCTTACTTTGATTAGCAGATGAGTTTTCGCCCTTGTCGAGTATTTGAAACTCTAAAGGCAAAAGTGTCCGGCTGCAGGCAAGCCCTTAGCTAGTTACTTCATCTTCCTCTTCACTGCTTGAGGCTTTGTTTTGTTCAGACTTCTGCCTTTCAAACTCTCTAAACTTGTGCAAGCACCTTAACATAACCTCCTAAAAGTTATCAAACCCTAATGTATTGAGAGCCCAACAAAGGTCATCTCCATTCACTGTTTTTCGATTCTCCTTGTGACACTTGTCTGATTCTTCACTGTTTATAAAACTTATGAACTTTGTTACACATTCTTGCATTGTTTCTTTGGCTTCTTTCGAAATTTTGGCATTCTGGGGGAGGATGTATTTCATAATCCTCCCTACATTGGCTAATTTCTCTTGCCCCTCAACCATTTACAAAAACAGATGTTATTAATTAGACCTTCTTCTAATTTAGAAACACATATTTCGTTTCTAGTAATTAACTTCTTTATAATGCTGCTGAGATATGACATACACGCGCTATAAGTATCATCTCATGTGCTAATTGTATAACTGTAAATTTTTTTGTAGTTCTTAGAAATTCTCATGTAGATGGAATTAATTAATTAGCTAGATGAGGATGCAAAAGCATTATCATTGATGGGAGGCATAACTTGGTGGTTTAGGCATTGTTGGTATATATGTTTTGTCAATGGCCCTAATATAAAGTAACTTGTTGTACCAAAAATTATCTCGATTAAATATATATTGATATAGCTCTATAGTAGTATTACATGCTGCACCCCCCCACCCCACCCCAAACAATAGGTAAAGAAGAAAACAATCTGATTGATGAACCCACCATATAATTATAAGCCGGTTTTTGGGACTGAAATGACTTTCGAAAACTG